ACTGGATAAAAACTCCATAACATACACTGTTCTGTAAGATTCTTCATTTTGAGCTTTCATCAAACCACAATTGACCTAGCAAACTCAGTAATATTATCAAGTCTCTCTCACCAGTCTATTTCTTGTAGATTAGTGTGGAGATGAATTAAATGACAGCAACTTGAAAGATTTGAAAGATTCCAAATTAAAGAAAAAATTATCATTTAAAAGCACATTCTAGGTAAGATAAGGGACAATACTTGCCCCTCTCTGTTTTCCAAACTCTTGAAATGACTCACTGTAAAAAATTATATATTAGTATAAAATCACCCTGACATTAAAAAAAAAATTTTCCCCAATAACATAAGAAAAGAATTCTGGGTGCTGTGGCTCATGCCTGTAATCCCAGCACCCTGGGAGGCCAAGGCAGGCAGATCACTTGAGGTCAGGAGTTCGAGATCAGCCTGGCCAACATGGTGAAACCCCCTCTCTACTAAAAATACAAAAATTATCTGGGTATGGTGGCAAGCGCCCGTGGTCCCAGCTACTCGGAAGGCTGAAACAAAAAAATCACTTGAACCCGGAAAGCAGAGGTTGTGGTGACTGAGATCGCACCAGCCTGGGTGATGAAGGGGGACTCTGTCTCAAAAAAACAACAACAAAAAAATGTAGGCATACAACACACAAGCCATCCAGCAGGCTGGGCACAGTGGTTCATGCTTGTAATCCCAGCACTTTGGCAGGGTGAGGTGGGTGGATCACTTGACCTCAGAAGTTTGAGACTAGCCTGGGCAACATGGCGAAACCCTGTTTCTATAAAAAATACAAAAATAGCTGAGTGTGGTGGCACACGCCTATAGTCCCAGCTACTCGAGAGGTTGTGTTGGGAGGATCCCCTGAGCCTGGAAATTTGAGGCTGCAGTGAGCCATGATTGTGCCACCGCACTCCAGCCTGGGTGACAGAGTGAGACCCTGTCTCCAAAAAAAAAAAAAAAAAAAAAAAAAAAAAAAAAAAAAAAAAAAAAAAGCCATCTAGCAGAATGTCACTTCATCCCTAGAAGACCCACTTCCTGGCCCCTCAACTGCTTCTGATATTTCTTTTTACCTTGGAAAAAAAAAAATACAGTGTAAGTAATCTTTTAATCAAAACACAGCCTCAGAGGGGAAGGCAAAGCCTGTCATTGTTTGTTGTTGCTGTTGTTAAACAGCTGACATATGTATTCTGGTGATGCTATGGTGCTGCTCAGTTACTCTGAACATATTATTTTTTCACTCTACTAGTGGTATGTCTTTTTTTTTTTTTGAGACAGAGTCTTGCTCTGTAGCCCAGGCTGGAGTGCAGTGGCGTGATCCAGGCTCACTGCAACCTCCATCTCCTGGGTTCAAGCAATTCTCCTGCCTCAGCCTCCTGAGTAGCTGGGACTACAGCTGTGTGCCACCATGCCCAGCTAATTTTTTTGTATTTTTAGTAGATGGGATTTCACCCTGTTGGTCAGGCTGGTCTTGAACTCCTGACCTCAAGCAATCCACCCGCCCTTGGCCTCCCAAAGTGCTGGCGTGAGCCACCGTGCCCACTCAGTAGGTCTTTTTTTTTTTTTTTTAAAGCGAAGTACTTATGCGTGAATAAGTGCAAGAAAATGACTGCTTATCAGTAGCATATAAATTCAAAGTAGGGAATGATAGTAATGCCAAACCACCACAGACTCCATCCACGTGGGTGGCTGAGATAGTGATACCTTTGCTTTCTGATGGTTCAATGTATATGAACTTTGTTTCATGCACAAAATTAAATTATTAATTATAAAATAATAAAGTAATATAAAATTATTAATTATAAAAATTATTTAAAATATTGTATAAAATTATCTACAGGCTATATGTATAAGGCATATATAAAACACAAATAACTTCTGCATTTAGACTTGGGTCTTATCCCCAAAATATCTCATTATATATAAGCAAATATTCCAAAATCTGAAAAATAATCCAAAATCCATAACCCTTCAGGTCCTAAACATTTCGAATAAGAGATACTCAACATGTAGGATTTAAATATTTCCAAATAAATAAAATGTTAGTTTGAACCACTGAAAAGGAATTTTTTTCTTTTTTCTTTTTTTTTTTTTTTGAGATGGTCTCCTGTCACTGAGGCTGGAGTGCAATGGTATTATCTTGGCTCCTTGCAACCTGTACCTCCCAGGTTCAAGCAATTCTCCTGCCTCAGCCCCCTGAGTAGTAGCTGGGATTACAGGCACATGCCGAGGCGGGCAGATCACCTGAGGTCAGGAGTTCAAGATCAGCCTGGCCAACTAACATGGTGAAACCCCGTCTCTACTAAAAAAGATGATTATTTAAAGCTTTAACTAATAAAAGTAACTGATTAGAAATGAAATCTAAAGTTAAATTACTACTCTATAAAAAAGAAAGTAAAAGTGAGTTTCTAAGAAGCTGTTTACTTACTAGCACCTTTTGAGATAAAATCTTCACTTAAAAATAATATGAAAATAAAGTTATTGTATAGCACAATGTATAGCACTTCTGGCTCTGAAGTCAGACTATTTGGGTTCAAATCCCATTTTTTACCACTTGTTATAAATATCTGTGAATACAGTCAGGTCATTTAACCTCTGCAAACCTCAGTTTTCTCACTGCAAAACTAGAGAATTATTATTTCTGGGTTAAGGATTAAGTGAGATGATTCATAATTCTCTTTCTTATACTATACAAATTCATCATGTAGCGCAAAAAAAATGCAGTGAAAAGCCTATCAAACACAGTGTGATGCAGCTCAGCTACAGTGTAGGTGCATCATGGCCCCATTATATGTAGCAATAAATACTGTGACCTCAGGATTGACTTTGAGGGGAGAGCTTTGTTCCTTAATCCACTCCAGGCTCCTCAGTAGCGTGCACCACTGCATCCAGCTAAAATACATACTTTTAAAATTGTCTTTCTTAAAACCAAATCAGGCCGGGCGCGGTGGCTCAAGCCTGTAATCCCAGCACTTTGGGAGGCCGAGACGGGTGGATCACGAGGTCAGGAGATCGAGACCATCCTGGCTAACATGGTGAAACCCCGTCTCTACTAAAAAAAACAAAAAACTAGCCGGGCGTGGTGGCGGGCGCCTGTAGCCCCAGCTACTCCGGACGCTGAGGCAGGAGAATGGCGCAAACCCGGGAGGCGGAGCTTGCAGTGAGCTGAGATCCAGCCACTGCACTCCAACCTGGGCGACAAAGCGAGACTCTGTCTCAAAAAAAAAAAAATAAAATAAATAAACAAACAAATCAATATTTGTTATAACCTGACCTTCATCTTATCTATGATGCCTTATCTTATATAGCTTATTGTACATAGCCTTATCTGCTGTTTTAAGTAAAGTAGACTTATTAAAACTGGTCACTTGAACAATAGTTAAAATTGTATGATAATTGTAGATGTGTAATTGCTTTCGGAAACTATTTGGGAAAAAAAAAATACACCACAAAAAGTTTCCTAAAGTGTCCTTAACAATTATCAATTTCCTTAACAAATATAATGCCTACTTATAATGCTATGCTACACAGGAAATAATAAGATTCTTTCTAGATATGTATCCCATATTCTAAGGACCTATTAACCTGACTCAGACCCAAAATGTCTATTAAAAAATGTACTGTGACATGTGTGGGTGAATTATTTGACTTTTTATTTCAGATTAACAGGAGTAACTGAATTAAATCATTAGATCAAAACACTTCAAATGTGTTTACATTAGTATAAAGGTGACCTAAGTTAGAACAAGAAAATGTAAAAATGAGTTACATTTAAACATTTAATTGAGAAGGAAATGTAAATTATTTGTTCTTTAAAACAAATTTCCAAAATGACAAAACCATGCAGTAGAAAAAAAATTGTAGGATTTTGTTAATCACATAAATCATTAGTAATTTATACTGTTATCTAATGACAGTATTTTTTCTCTCATACTGTCTCAGTCTGAATTAGTTTTAGCACTTACTCAAAATTAAACAAGGATAAACTTGGACACAAAATATATTCAGAAATATATTTACTGATATTAGTACAGCCACCCCATATATTCTTAAATTTAGGGAGATATGAACATTGAATAATCATTATTTGAAAAGCATCTACATAAACAACATTCCACATATGACAGATATTTGGTATGCTAATAATTAAGATACTTTTTCTTAGATTAGCAATGCAGGTTAAAAATCATAGCAGGATCCCTAAAGATAAGTTTATCCAAGTTTATCCACTTTCACTTACTTCTCCTGAAATTTAATTTAGATTGGAAAAAAAATTGCACTGAATGTAAACTTTGGGGTATATTTAATTTTTACTTAAATATTTCTTCCAATTTCCCTGTGAATACTGGGCATCATATAAAATCCACTTGTTACAAATATTGCTAATATTTTAATATAAACAGAGTTTACAAGACCAAATAATATTTATTTTAATACCTACTGTTGAGGAGATAATCCTCTTTTAACCTACTTGATTCATTTATTGGAATTTCTTTATTTTTTTGAGACAGCGTCTTACTCTGTCACCCAAGCTGGAGTGCAGGGGCGTGATCTCGGCTCACTGCAACCTCCACCTCTTGGGTTCAATCGATTCTCCTGCCTCAGCCTTCCGAGTAGCTGGGATTACAGGTGCACATCACCTGTATTGTATTTTTGGTAGAGACAGGGTTTCATCATGTTGGCCAGGCTGGTCTCAAACTCCTCAGGTGATCCACCTGCCTCGGCCTCCCAAAGTGCTGGGATTACAGACATAAGCCACCATGCCCAGCCTATTTATTGGAATTTCTTAGAATCATCAGATTTAGTATCAGTAGATCCACTTATAACATTACGGATAGCAACTTCCTAATTCATTAATTTCCATATACAGTCAAACCAATTCCTGTATTATAAAGAAACCAAAGCTGTGCTACTTTTAAAAAATATGTCAGTGGTACACGAGGGGTGTAACTCCTTATAAAGCAAGCATGAATGTGGCATCAAACTTACTTTTCCAAAGAAGCCTTTGAAGAACTTCCTTTCCTGGAGGAACAGGGGGACAAGTCGAGCGCTATTATTGTATGGCCTAAATGTCCCAGAGTTTCACATCAATAAGCACATACACAAATTGGGGAAAGGAAAAAGTGGGAGAAGGGGTGGGAGTGAGTTTCAAAGAGTTATCCATACCAGGAGTGACAGGGAAAAAGGAAGGGTGCATGAAAATGCAGGGAAACACATTGTATGGCCTAAGAATCCATGGAAAGAGTGAGAAGAAATCAGAACCTGTATCCATGCAGAGTACCAAGTTAGTTTAGTTAAATCGCTGTTTACATTTAAAACAGAGATCTTCCAAATTTGGCAGCAGAGGAAAAGATAGGGCATACTGGTTTGGTGAGATTTGTATTTTAAATTTTATAATAGTGAATAGAAAATAGAAAACTGGTTCCATATACATTTTTTAAGTTTAAAATTGGTGGTCAACTATGTGAAAGTCATCAATTTTAAAAAAAGTCCACATTCAAATGACCACATAATCACATTAAAAATGCAATACATAAAATTAAATGAGTATGCATCAAAGGTCCTTGTCATACTTTTCCTTAGTGAGTAAGATGTCACTTAGAAACTCCATACCACTTAAGGGGAGCTTGACCATTGGCTTTCCATTAACTTACATTAGTATCAATCTATATGTACATGTGTGTTGATCAATTTCACAACATACATAAGGAAATAACATGTATGTTCTATTCCAGACACAGAATAAATTATCTATTAAGGTTACAAGGCTAATACTCATACAAGAGCTGAGAAAACATGTATCTTAAGAACCAAATGATGTCTGTGGGCTACAACTGAAATTTAAGAAACAGCGTTTTGTTTTCTTTATAAAAGCTATTGTTTATTATTATTTGGTTTTTGTTTGTTTGTTTTTTGAGACAGAGTCTCACTCGTCACCCAGGATGGAGTGCAGTGGCATGATCTTAGGTCACCACAACCTCTGCCTCCTGGGTTCAAGCAATTCTCATGCCTCGGTCTCCCGAGTAGCTGGGACTACAGGTATGCACCACCACATCCAGCTGATTTTTGTATTTTTAGTAGAGACAGGGTTTCACCATGTTGGCCAGGCTGGTCTCGAACTCCTGACCTCAAGTGATCTGCCTGCCTAAGCCTCCTAAAGTGCTGGAATTACAGACATGAGCCACTGCGCCAAACCTAAAAGCTGTTATTTTAAAATAAACTTGCATTGACATTTATAAGTATACAATTCTGAAACTATCTGAATAACAGAGGCATAACTATCTATGGTATCAGCACCAATTTTTAAGCACCATTTATGAAAACTGGCCACCAATTAAAATCTGTAGAATTTACACAAATTAGATGGGTTTCAACACACACAAGCTAGATTTAACTCTACATTTCCTAGCTATGGTTGAAATATACTTTAAGCCTTTACTTTTTATAATCGTCAGTTTTTAATGTTGGATAAATGTCTAGGAAAAGATAATTGCACTGAAATTTGACTCTTTTACACAATCCATAAACTGTTCAATGCTCTCCAACACTGGAAAGTTTGTTTTCCCCTGTAAGCTTTGAAAATCACAAACAGCAAAAAATATTTCCACAAAACATTTTGAACTGCAACTGGAAAAATAATAAAGTAATTGGGTAGTTATCACAATAAGACTAAGATTATTTCTGCTGCCAAGTTTGGTGACCCTAGTTTTGTTAGACTATGAATAACCATAAGCTTTCAAGGATGCAGCCAAAGTTAAGATATTCACCAATCTTGAGGGATAGGAAGGTGAAGGAAGGAGATTGTTAATATTTAATTCAGCTCCTAGAAAAGCTATTGTTAAACATTGAGCTTTCCCTCTTTTTATAAAATACCCAACATGTTAATGAAAAAAGTTGGCATGCAAAATTCATAAAAAGACAGTTATTAAAGAATAATAATGTTTTTTTAAAAAACATTTGTTATCATTCTTTTACCTGCTAAAACAAGAACATATATTAAAACAAATATATCAAATAGTGAATAAAAAAACAACATATTAGAAACTGGTAGTGTAATGAAACTAGTCTAAAACTAAGACAGAGGGAGAGACATTTAAGAAACAATGGGAAGAAATGACCTTTTTAAAATGAAGGGCATCTTGGACCAGAGTTAAGCAAGATAACCAAAGGCCTTATACACTTTTTATGGAATTGGCTGATATATGACAATATTCCTCATCCTGCAGCTGATATGCCATAAAGGCAGTAACAATGGGCAATAGTGGTTTCTGTCATTTATCCTATAGAAGCTAAGTACTAAAGTAGCTAATCAGTGAAGTTATGTGACAAAGTAAATCAGCTGAAAATAGCTGTCAATAACTTTATGCACAGAAAGTTAAAAAAATTAACATAGTTATGCTCTGAGGAGCATGTTTTTAAAACCCTACCTTGTTTAGTTAGTTTTTCATTTGAGCACATCAAGTATGCAGATGAATTCCCATTGAAGTTAATGTAATTCTAAATTGTAAGAGAGTATTTTGGGGAAAAACACTTGCAAATTATCTCTTTTCTCAATTGTTCACAAATTTAAAAAGCACTAGAAGGCGGAGCACAGTGGCTCATGCCTGTAATCCCAGCACTTTGGGAGGCCCAGGCAGGTGGATCACCATAGGTCAGGAGTTAGAGATCAGCCCGGCCAACATGGTGAAACCCCATCTCTACTAAACACACTTAGCTGGGTGTGGTGGTGGGCGCCTGTAACCCCAGCTACTCTGGAGGCCGAGGCAGGAGAATCGCGTGAACCCAGGAGGCGGAGGTTGCAGTGACCTGAGATTGTGCCATTGCACTCCAGCCTGGGTGACAGAGCGAAACTCCATCTCCAAAATAAATAAATAAATAAATAAAAAGCACTAGAAATGTTAAATTTTTAGTTCAAAGATTATTCACTAGATGAGTTGGTGGTATAGTGGAAAGCATAGCTGCCTTCCAAAGATCATTCACATGGTAGGTTTAAAATGCTTGTTTTAAACAAAACGTTACTTAACTGGTACATCTGAACTATTCTTTAAAATTTTAAGCTCTGGCATTCAAACTAATTTCAAAGATATCCTATTTCTTCTTTAATCCTCTGCAGGCTTATGTATCCTTACATTTGCTCCCACTTATTTGAAACTCTAAAAGGGAGCTTTATAATCTATTAAAAAAAAAAAAAGTCTCCAGAAACATAGCATTTGGCACAATATAAGATACTTATATCTGGCAAAGTCAAGTTGTAGATCCTCATGGATGATTTTTAGATGAATGTTTGCTCAGAGAAATCAAAAGGCAACTAGAAATTTCTGCATAGTAAAAATGTGAAAGGAAGACAAAAATGAGGAATACATGTGGCACACTATGATATGAGAAGAACGGTATCCTAAAGACTTCCAACTTTCTGCAAGATTCTCAGTATTGCTCTAGAAAGAGTATTTAAAAGAAGGGGGAGGCCAGGCGTGGTGGTTCATGCCTGTAATCCCAGCACTTTGGGAGACTGAGGTGGGGGGATCACGAGGTCAGGAGTTCAAGACCACCCTGGCCAACACGGTGAAACTCTGTCTCTACTAAAAATACAAAAAATTAGTCGGGTGTGGTGGCAGAGGTGCCTGTAATCCCAGCTACTCAGGAGGCTGAGGCAAGAGAATTGCTTGAACCTGGAAGGTGGAGGTTGCAGTGAGCCAAGATCACACCACTGTACTCCAGCCTGGGTGACAGAGCAAGACTCCGACTTGGGGGAAAAAAAAAGAATGGGGACGTTTCATTGACTATAAGAAATAGGAAATTTACTCCAGTGACCCAAAACTTCAATTCCATGTTTTTATAATACATGCCAGTGCAAAACTACATATAACATTTGCTCCAAATCTAGTATTTATCTGAAAAATTTTAAATAACTTCTTGATAAGAAGTCTAGAAATGGTCAATTTCCCCTCAAAGTTTAAAAGTTTAAGTATGTTTAGAAAACAATCACCAACATATCTAAAACTTTATTTTTTATTATTTATTTTTGTAGAGACAGGGTCTCACTATATTACCCAGGCTGGTCTTGAACTCCTGGCTTTAAGGGAGCCTCCCATCTCAGACTTCTAAGTAGCTGAGATTATAGGCACAAGCTACTGTGCTCAGCTTAAAACTTTCTTTCAGTCATTAAAAACCATAGGAAAATAAAGATATTTAGAAATAAGCAAAACAGTTTTGGTAAACTTAAAACATTAGACATAATATTTGATTATGGTTATTGTAAGACTCAAGTTGACCACACATTGCAGATCAGATTGTATTCTGTATATTCACTCTAGAAATATTTTTTGAGTTACAACTATGTGCCAGCCACTGTTCCATGCATAGGTATAATTTTTAAAATGGCTATTTAGTTCCTAATTCTGATGAATATAAAAACATTACATTTTATTATCTAAATAGTCCTATGCCTCAAGCAATCACGCTTATAGCCTATTATCGTCTTGTTTTTTTTTTTTTTAAAAAGGTAAAATAAAACAAAAAAATCCATTGAAACATTAGTTTTAAAACTAGACAGTTAAATAGTGGCTATCTCTGGGATTGTAGGAAATTTCATCTTATTTGTGTACTTTTTTGGTTCATTTGTATTTTATACAATAAACATATATTGCTTATATAATAAAGAGATATTTCTAATTAAAAGTATTTAAAAAACAAAAAAACCCAAAACTAGACAGTTAAGAGGATTAACTGCTCATTAAACAACAAAATACTATTTCTCAATATGTTCTGGGCAAACTTAAACCACCTCTAGCTTTTCCTTACTTACAGAGTGTACATGAAGCCATACTCTGAATCAAAAGACTTTCTAAAGGCTCATTCCACGGTGGCCATTTCACCATAAGTTGTGTAAATTATAAGATTTTAATAATTATTTATAGTTTGTTTCAGGGCTATCTAGTCTGTTCACTGATTTGTTTTCAGTGATTACTATAAAATTATTTAATGGGCAAATAACTGCATTACTTTAAAAAAAAGTTCTTCGCTAAAATCATCTTGTTTGTGTATTTATTTAGTTGAGACAAGGGGCTCATTGTGTCGCCCAGGCTGGTCTCAAACTCCTAGACTCAAGCAATCCTCCTACCTCAGCCTCCCGAGTAACTGATATCATTCTTCTAGATGAACCCAGAATTATTTTGTTAAAAAAATTAAATTTTTACTTCTCTTTTAAATTTGGTTTTGACAAATGGAAAATTAAATTATCTGAGACTATGTTTAACTGGGGAATATATTTAGGTTGGCATGGAAGGTCTACAAACTATAATTTCATGTACCGTAACACAAGGTCTCCTTAACATAAATGACAGATTGGAGAGCATAGATAAGACTAGCAAAGGCTTGAATCATTTAAGAATTTTAGTGATCAAAATCTGAGATAAAGAGTATGTATAGGTATATATGTATGTATATATGTGTACATATGTCTGTATCTTTTTAAAAAATTTTTTAGTTCTTTGTATATTATAGCCAGTTACTTTCTCCTTTTCCTTCTGTGGCAGATTCAGGTACTTATTCCAAAATTAAATCTACCTCTCTGACTTGGTTGCTTCCTTAATTTTATATATTTTATATTTAGGAATTACAGATAAGAAGTAATATAGATTATGCCAAGAAGCAGAAAAGTTCTGATTACGAAGCAAATTGAGGGAAAGAAGCACACATTAGTAGTCAAACTTGTGGCAGCCCACCATACTAGCAAACCCAAAGCAATATGTATTTAATGCTGTTGGGGACAGAGCATGCAGAAGTAATGCTTAAAGCTTTCACAGCAAAGTGGGGAAAGGCCACATATTAGAAGGAGGGTTGTGAAGAGGACTATCAGATCTATGGAACATGCCTCAAACCTACGGAAAATCTGAAATTAACACTTTGAATCCTTATGAATCCTGAACTCGTTCTTTCCTTTCACTGAATACACAGGCATGTGCCTGGGATGTGTTCTATGGCATAACAGGCAGAGGAAACATTAGTTATCCTGGGAAAGGGCTCTCTACTTCAAGTGTGCTAAAGTTTATGTAAAAGGCAGTAGAAACAGACTGTTTATGTTAGAGGTGTATAGCAAAGAAAACTGGGGAGTAGGAGTTAAGATAATAGTAAGAAGTCCCCAAAAAGGAAACCTCACCAGGCATCAACACAGATATCTCTATCCTCCAGTTTTCCCCAGGAAGCTACTTTTTATAGTATATTTAAAACCCATAATTTATAGCCCAGTTATCACAGTTAGGTTAAGATGTTAACTGTAACAGTTTTATCCTAGTCTTAGAATACTATTCTTCTATCAGATTTTACAACTTTTGTTTCATATGGGTTATAAATCAAAAGTACCTTTAGGATAATATCTGCCCTAAATTGAAACGGCTCGTCTTATAATTTATACCTCTGGATGGACAACATGAGATGCTTTTAAATTTTTTAATTATTATTTTATTATTTGAGAAAAGTTTTTTGAAATTAATAGAGACAGGGTCTCGAAATGTTGCCCAGGCTGGTTTTAAACTCCTGGCCTCATGCAATCCTCCTGCCTCAGCCTCCCAAAGTGCTAGGATTATAAGAGTGAGCCACTGTGCTTGGCTTAGATGCTCCTTATTAGCAAGCCCACATCTTTTTAACAGAAACACAGTTTTTACTGGGTCACTAAAATTTACTGAGCAAAATATTTTAAAAAAATATTGACAGCATATAGATCAACGCTGGCAACCATCAAATACATACAGCTTTCAATCTTTTTACAGCATCTTCACAGATGTGCATTCCTCTTGATTCATCAACTTCTACATGGCCAAGGTACTGTAGAAAAAAATAAAAAGTTAGGGCTATTGCTATGTTTACCAAGTAGCTACTATATAGTAAGCATTATGTGAAAACTGAATACAGGTTGAGCATTCCAGATCTGAAAAAATCTGAAATCTGAAACACTTCTGGGTGTCAAGCATGTTGGATAAGAGACACACCACCTGTACTGAAATTCCTACACTCAAGAAATACACAGCCATTGAAAAACAGTTCAGATAATGTAATTTTACATATTCTCAGTGTCCTCATAGGAATAAGATTTAGAATAATTATTTCAAAAAGGTGTTACAGGTGAGTAAGTGAAGAAGTACACAGTAGGCACTAAACATTACCTGAATCTAATATCTTAATCTAATTACCTGGATCTGAAGCATAATAGCCTATGCTAGACACAGTTACTATGTCTCCACACATGAAAGTAATCCTAAGACAAAGTATATATACATATCTTTTAAAAAGCACAAACAAAAATGATAGTTTTTCAAAGACTGAAGAAATCACACACTCCTTTTATGGGGAGCATATAAGAGCAAGGCAGATTACCAAAACAAATTTTATGAATGTATTACATCTGAGCTGTAAAACATACATAAAATTTGAAGAGGCAAAAATTGAAAGGTTGAAAGACTATTTTAGGCTGAGAGAATTACATAAAGTTATAGATGTGGAATAGGATAATTACGTATCAGTGCTGGGACTCAGAACACATTATCCCAAAGTATGGTGTCGAATGCTTTGAACTAAAAAAGAACCAAGGTCTGACCTTCTCTTGACCTCCTGACTCTTAACTCCTCCTTCTCCCCCGGAAAAGTAGGAGGGGCTTTCTCTGAAGTTCTCTCATCTGTCCAAAGATAGATCCTTCAAAAAGAAGCTCAATTGTTATATATGCCATCCCTGGGAATCTTATCAACTAGGGTAGATTAACTGTATCAAAGAAGAGACTGAAGTTCAACACCCCAGACTTTGTCACAGGCTATCACCTATTCTTCTGAGGGCTGCTCCAGACAACTTGTATTATAGGAGAGACTTTTTATCTGCACAACAAGGCTAGCTTTGCTCACCGTGCATTTCCTTCCCTCATATTCCCATAGGTTGTCACCACCTCCCCTAAGGTCCCTATTCCTTTCTGTAGCTCAGGATGCCATAAAAATGTCAATCATCTGGCCTTCAAGTTTGATATTTTGTGAGACTCTTATGTACAAACATGTAATAAATTTGTTTGTGTTTTTTTCCTGCTAATTTATCTACTGTCAGTTTATCTCACATACTCAAATACTGAATGGTCAAAGGGTAGAGGGAAAGTTCTCTTCTCCTCAGCATCAACGAATACTCTTGTTTGGTTTGAATATGAAATCTATGCAGCTGGGGAATTGAAGTACTAAAATAGTCAGCACTTAACCCTAGAGACAATGGAGAGCTAACAAAAAATTTTTTTTTCCCAAGGTAGTAATATGATTCAAGGTCTGGTTCCAGGTAAATAGGGAGTGGACACACTACACCCTGTTCCTCCCACTGACTGAAACCATAAAACCTGAACAGAATTCATGGAACAGGTACTTAAGCTTTCTGAAAAGTAAACAGAAGATGAATCAGAGTAGAATACCAGAATTCAAAGTACTACGGAAATGGCAAGGAATTTACCTCCCCTTTCTCTCTTTGGTACCTCCAGACTGAGAAAGTAACTTTTATCTGAGGAATGCAAGTCCTTTTAATTATCAGGTCAATAAGAGACATTAAAATGAGACCACAATCACGCTCTACTACTCACTTTGACCTACGTATCCCTCTCCTGAAAATGCCTGCTACTGCCACCAGTAGCTAGAAATTTAACCTAATAATGTCACACCAGACACTATAACCCACACCCTACCTATTGCTTAACAGTGTATAGCCAATCACTAGTCAATGTTATTTCTTTAAACCAACGAGAATTCCTGATCCACAACTTTTTATCAGCCCACTCCCTGTCCCCTTCTTTTACTTTTAAAAATCCGCTTGCTTGCTGGGTATGGTGGCTTAAGCCTGTAATCCCAGCACTTTGGGAAGACAAGGTAAGAAGATCATTTGAGGCCCAGAGTTCAAGACCAGCCTGGGCAACATAATGAGACCCTGTTTCTACAAAAATAAAAAAAATTAGCAAACACCTGTAGTACTAACTATTCAGGAGGCTGAGGCAGGAGGATTGCTTAAGCCCATGAGTCCAAGGCTGCAGTGAGCTATGATCATGCCACAACACAAAAGTCTGGGTGATAGAGAGAGACCCTGCCTCTAAAAACCAAAATGAAATGAAGAAAACTTAAAAAAAAAAAAAAAATCCACCTGTAACTGCTAATTGAAGGGTACATCCAGAGCAACTTCAATCTATGCTTCTGGGTTGCAATACTCAACCTTGGCCCAAATAAACCTTCTACTTATATTAATTTTGCATCAGCTTCTTCCTTTAGGTTGACAAGCCTGAACTTAGCACAGCCAGAAATCCAAAAGCGAGTATTGTGATACAGAAAGATGTCTGGGAAAACCTCTCTAGCTCTGGTTTGAGGACCAGGAAATGGAACTCCTAAAGCTCAGAGACAGTACAGGAGTACCTCTTTCTTTTGTTGGTTCTCTCACATCTCAGCCACCAGGAAATCCTGTGATGGTGTGGTGGCAGCAGAGGTAGCAACAAAAGAAACCTGTAGGAGCCACACCTCTAAGGCAGGGGGACCTACCTCTCTGTTTAGTAGAAGGGTGGTTCCAGGAAGATGGGGCCAATCCCCCTTTTGCTTTTTTCCTTTCTCTCTGATCTCCTGCCATTTGACCCCAAATACAAGTGAAATTGTGGGACTTCATGGTAGTGCAGAACAACCAGAGCCCCAGGTTTCTGGCTAGAGAACAAGAAAGGGGAACTCCAGGGAACCAGAAAGTACCAAAGAAGGCACAGGAAGGGAGGAGCTTGAGAAAGACCATGAATTTGTTTGTGAATTCCTAGGCTCACCCTGCAGCTACACAGGTAAGAATCTGATCCTAATTAGCATACCCAGGATTTTGACAGTTGAACTAATGTATACACCACCTCCTGGTTCCCAAACTGACCCCTAGGTGACATACACACAGAATAGATCAGAATAGCACCGCAGATCAGGATAGCATTGCAGAGGCTTTGAAAACTAAACTGATGGCCAGGCGTGGTGGCTCATGCCTATAATCCCAGCACTTAGGGAGGCCGAGGTGGGTGAATCACTTGAGGTCAGGAGTTTGAGACCAGCCGGGCCTACATGGTGAAACGCCATCTCTACTAAAAATACAACAATTAGCCAAGCAGGCGCCTGTAATCCCAGCTCCTCAGGAGGCTGAGACAGGAGAATCATTTGAACCTGGCAGGCAGAGATTGCAGTGAGCCAAGATCGCCCCATTGCACTCCAGCTTGGGCAACAAGAGAGAAACTCCGTCTCAAAAAAAAAAAAAAAGAAAAAGAAAACTGAACTGATATTGGAACCACATCCTGCAGAAAGTAAGAACTTGTAGCCTGAGACCTAACTGGACTGACCGGTATAGGAAATATTAATTAAAAAGGAATTAACATTTACTGATTACCTACTATGTGCCAGAAACTGTGCTGGATGTTTTATATATTTTGTCTAACCTAATAACTACTCAGAAAGGTATGTTTGATCACTTGATTTTAAAACTGAGGAAAGGAAATGAGGTTCAGGAGTGCTGAATAACTTTTCCAAAGTCATACACACAGCTAGTCGGGGAAGAATATGGTTTACATTCATGATTTCAAAGTCCAAAGGTCTCACACTTGACTTTACCACAATTCAAGAAAGCTTTTCCTGATTTTTCATTCTTATTATAAGGAAATTTAAAAAAACAACAGGTTCTTTCCACCACATTGTTTCCTACAATTTTTTAAAATAAAAGTCACTTCCCTGGCAAATTTTTCCTCTGGCAGGGCTGAAACTATCAATTACAAGTGAGCCTCTCTGAAAACTCAGTGAAAACATCTAAAATAAGTTCATCATTATTCATACTTTCTCATTTCCTCTCAAGTTACAGAATTTCTACTTGGAAGAGAATTATTATTTTTTTGAGACAGAGTCTCACTCTGTCGCCAGACTGGAGTGCAGTGGTGCAATCTCAGCTTACTGCAATCTCTGCCTCCCGGGTTCAAGCGATTCTCCTGTCTCAGCCTCCCGAGTAGCTGGGACTACAGGTGCATGCCACCACGCCCAGCTAATTTCTGTATTTTTAGTAGAGATGGGGTTTCACCATGTTGGCCAGGCTGGTCTCGATCTCTCGACCTCGTGATCTGCCTGCCTCAGCCTCCCAAAGTGCTGGGACTACAGGTGTGAGCCACCATGCCTAGACTTGAAAAGAATTATTAATATGAGGCTGACTAGGAGGCTTAATGACATTTTGGAATATGGTGCTGTAAAAGTACATCATTACTGAGCAAAACTAAAAAGACAGTTAAAAATCTAGTATCTGTAATTTCTGAGTAAGACTGGTTCTTAGAGATGACTCTAGTTCATATACATGGTCCTGTAGGGCATAGGTTTATTCATTTTTAAAAAACATACAGTAAAATTCACTCTTTTTGGTTTAGAGGTCTATGAGATATGACAAATATATACAGCTGTATAACTACCACCACAATCAAGTTTGATCATCCTCAAAAATTCCCTCATGATGCCCATTTGTAATCAACTCTTCCCCCTGCCCTCCCCCACCACACCCAGTCCCCAGCCTCTGCAACTACTGATCTGTTTTCTATTCCTATAATTTTGCCTTTTAAAGAGTATCATATTGGCTGGGCGTGGTGGCTCACGCCTATAATCCCAGCACTTTGGGAGGTGGAGGTAAGTGGATCACTTGAGGTCAGGAGTTCGAGACCAGCTTGGCCAATACGGTGAAACCCTGTCTCTACTAAAAATACAAAAATTGGCTGGGCGTGGTGGCAGGCTCCCATAGTCCCAGCTACTCAGGAGGCTGAGGCACAATAATTGCCTGAA